CTGCATATGACTGATGTGACAGTGTTAGCTTGCCGGTTTGTTGTCCCCCTGATGTGACGGCTGTCCTCGGTAACAATGGCCACAGCTCGTTCCACCTCGTCCCCGGGGCCCGGCCACAGCGCCGCCGTCACTCAGCGGGTTGCATTTGTTCCTGGTCTCAGCGTACAATACTCCATTACTCTTCTGGCTTGGGTGTCTATTGCAGCCCATAAATCTGTATGGTAATAAGTTTTGAAATTTGGCACACTGATTGGGGACAGTCTGCTCGCCAAGTTTCATGTTTGCATCTCGAGTGCTCTAGCCACCTTGAATGTGAAACGTGGAGGTACGTTTATGCATGGAACTTTTCAACCATGCCCTACTTTCAAAGATGAGGTCCCTTTGGATTCCTTGACTCAAGCTGAGTTAAACACATCCCGTGACCTCAATTTCCACCATATTGGGTTGTTCAACATTTTGGATTTTATCGAAAAGGGATGCTAATGGGACACTGGGATCTTTGCATATACATACTTGACCCTTGATCATATTAGTAACATGGCTGAATAGATGCAGGAGGGAAATGAACATAAAGCCCATATTAAGCATGTGTAGATATAATTTGGATGAGTGCAGACTAATCTGACTCGCTGTGGATCTACATGAACAAACACCCAGATACTCTATACACTCACATAGGCTGACTGTTTGTGCTTCACATGCTAACACTTGCTCACACTCTGTAATATAATTGTAACGGATGTCTTTGTAATTTTCGCTCTTGGTATTGATAAAGCTGATCAACTCAGCAATGTGACTCAAATAAAGCTCTATATTGATATGGAAAAATAAACATTTGAAACTGGGTGAACTTTACCAAACTTTTTTTCGCCCACTGGAGGGTGCTGTTGGGAGCTAGTAAGGAGCGCGCCATCGAGCCTGGGGCTGTCTGGCCTTGATCTGCTGTTAATCTGACAGACCTGATTCTCCTCTGTTACTTCATATGCGGTTGATGGTATAAATATTTTGTATTTGGGTTCAGGTATTTGGTGGCTGTGTGCTGTGCTGGAGAGGAATGATAAGCCAGCGATTCCTTAGTCTCCTGACAGAAAACAGCCTCAACACATGACGGCACACAAACTGCCCAGGCTGTTGTTCTGTTCAGTAACTGACTGTATCTGTTTTTGCCAGTTAGCATGTTCCTGTATGGAGTCTTTAAAGATGACAGTGGTAATGTGTGGGTGTGTGTGACTGAGCTCCTCCCTGCGGAGTCATTATGAGGAAGATCTCAGGCTCTCAGTGCTGCCATCTGCTGGTGGGGAGGCCCAATTTTAAGACAGACTTTTTTGTCTGATGAAGTTTTTACTCACTCATGGTTTTCTAAATTCCTTTTCAGTCTTTTGCTTTCTGTATTCTTTTTCTCATCTGACCAAAAGATTTTTATGTCCGCACACAAACACACATATTCAAACATTCAGCTATTTTCTTCCAACACATAGACAGACCTCTGTAATTGTTGCTGTGAAATTTATTAAATGGTTTCAAATCACAAGTGCATAATTAATAGTAGTCAGAGTATTAATATATGTTAGTAAATCAAGTTACAAAAACTGAAATCATTAATATTCATGTAAAGAAAAAAGATGAATATCCATTTGGACATGATTACAATGTGTCTCCCTCGGACAGGCATTTATTGTTGAAGTTGTTATTGTTATCCAGGCACTTCATGCAGGAGTTGGTGTTACATTTGTAGAGGGGGACCCTCTCTGCAACCACCTTCAGGGCAGAGGCCAGCAGCTCGGCCTTGTCTCTGTCCATCCTATAGACCTGACTGAACACAAAGGCCTTGGGACCGGGGTGACTGGTCAGTATACTGAGAGAGTCCAGGATGCACTTCTTGGTGTTGACCTTTCCTTGGTTCAGGCAGTGGTCCAGACATGGAGAGTTGTAGGTGTAGAACACCACACAGCCATTTTTGGCTTCCCCTCTGTTCAGCAGGTTTTCCACAGGAGTGACAGCTTGGCTGCTATCGCAGATGAGCAAGGCTCGCTCTGAGTGGATGGAGCCCTTTGGTCTGGCAGCGACCATCTGTTCTCCCCTGTAAAGTCTCGTCTTCCTGTCACTGAGATCTTTCTTGACTTTTTCTGTGTCCTCTCCGCTAAGGAAGTTGTTCTCATTGAAACTGGCCCCACACTGTTCTGCTGGGACGTTGATGGCCACAACATACTGGGCACCTTCACCGCTGTCGGTCTTTTCAGATGGTTTATATCTTGGAGAAACAAAGAGTAAAAACAAGATAAATGAAGACCTGATGTTACTGATGCTGCACATCCCACAAGTGCACAAATACCATTTGTTCTTTTTATCAGTGAGGATTTTCCTGTGCCTGCTGAATTCACATACAAGTCATGATGACAGGCTGCATGCAATAGTCACAACAACTGCTTCTCGATCATACTTTTAACCAACCTTGAGGGATAACTACTAATATTTAAGAAGATTTGCTACAAATATTTATAGTTGTTTACTCTGACAAATAACTTAAACTATGATGGGAGTCCCACTCGCTTACTTGGTCTCAAAGAATCGAATGATTTTAGGGAGAGTGTTCAGATCGACCTCAATTGCTGAAACCACAGAGGAGAACAGGAGGAGTCCAGTCAGCACACCTGTACACACCTAGACAGGTAACAAAACACGAATGAGCACAATCACAGACCAGCAATCTAGAGAGAGGAACAAAGAAAAGATTACCTTACATTACTTATAAAAACTATTCAAGTTGTGCACATCCAACCCAAGCCGGAATCAGGTGCAGGACAAAGTTAAAGGTAAATGTAAAAAAGGAAGAATTCGCACAAACCGTATTTGATGCTCCCAAAAAGAATTTGACCCCTAGACCTTCTAAAGTCTGATGAAATGTTGCACATTATTAAACATTTTGGTAACATCAAATACAGTCTTCCTTTTTTATTTACACTACATCACATTACCATGATGGAGGCCGGTGGGCTTGGCGTAAGTCAGATCTGAGAAGCTGAGATAGTTTCTTCTCCTGCTGTACTTAACCAGGCAGGCTGTAGCAGCAGTGGAGAGCGCTGGTATATATACTCTACTGTATGGGGTGAGGAAGTCCAGCCGTTAACACTGTAATGCTTCTGTTCCAGGCCATCACAAGGCAGATTTGCTGAGGAAGCACAGTTGCTGCTATCTTTAGGATCTTGGCTTTCACAATAGTTCTCAGCTAGAACAACAATTTCTTTCCAGTAATTCAGTAACTTGTAAAGCAAATGCAGTGTTATTATTCAAAAGTGATTTCCAGTGTATATCCACTTATACATGTAAACAGAAACATCAGCGTTATAACTATATCTGCAGAACCTGGAGGGGTCATATCAACTCAGTTTTCTGTTTTTTTTAACACTGTCGGAATATTGAAGTGTTTCCTTCTTAACCATGAACCTTTTCCAATGTCAGATCAAATAAAAACAGCATTGTGAGCTCAGTTGAACTCTGTATCCTTCTACTCTCTCCATTCAAACACTTCATTTTACTCTTCATTTTGTTCTTCATCAGTCCCATGTTTATATTTCATTCACATTTAATTCACGTTTCACTTGCATTTATCACTTTACTTCACTTTGTGATTTTCTCCGGCAATATTAAAGACAGGAGACTTATTTATCTTTATAAGCATTTGAGTATTTTTAAAGTATCACACTTTTTTTTATATAGAAGCAGGCATGGACTGTCCCACTGTCAATGGCGTAAATTATATAAATTATAAACCTGGTTATAGCTGTATTCATTTATTTCAACTTAAGTTCAAATGTCAGTGTTGGTTATCCTGTGTTACTCAGGTGATTATTCAAATACTCTCCTTATTCTCCAGCCCAAATTAAGATTATTACAATTATTATCATTAGTAAACACAATTTGCCCTATTATGCACAAGCTGGGTTAGAAGATGTGGGCCTGGAGCAACCACACCTCTCCATCAGAGTGGCAGACAGCGGTGATCATCTTTATACATCGGTGTGTGTGTGTGTGAGTGAGTGTGTGTGTGTGTGTGTGTGTGAGTGTGTGTCCATCTGCTTAGTATCATTAAAAGTGTCGTTAATACAATTGTGGTTAATTGACAAGTAAACCATTGTGCAGTACAATAGTATAAAAGATATTTACGCATATAATAAGTATTTATTTATCATACAAATTTATCATATGATCTTGTTATTTATTATTAGATGTAAGGTTATTAGATATAATCTGTGATGTCCAGCTGAGTTCTTGGGATGAGGGAGTAACAAAGCAGAGGTTTTACTTCTGCTTTCACAATATTTCTCAGTTTGCACAACAATTTCTTTCCAGTAAATGCAGTTATAGTCTGTTATTATTTAAAATGAATTTTCAAAAATGATTTCTAATGTACATCCACACATACATGTAAACAGAAACATCAGCTATTTCCCCAGAACCTGGAGGGATCATACCAACTCGACATACACTTTTTAATTTGATGAACATATACTGTTGTATATGCAGATGTAACAGTGTCGGAATGTTGAAGTGTTTCCTTGACCCTTTTCCATTGTCAATTCAATTAAACACACACACACACACTGCTGTATATCACCATGTTGCGGAAGGAGCTCCATCTGAGAAGTACCACTAAAAGTGTCATTAATACCTTTATGGTCAGTTGACAAGTAAACTGATGAATCCATCAACCAAGTGTCCATGACCAGAGCGAGCCACCTAGTTGGAGGTCCTCGCTCGTGATCAGGCCTGGAGAGGGATGGGCTTCACTAGGTCGTATTTGGTCTAAGCACAACTGGGCAGACACATCTGGCACGTTTTTGGGCTCTGTGAGGTCAGAAGGAAAGGTATTGGAGAACACCAGACTGATGAAGGACATGTCCTGTTCTATAGTGGCGAGATAGACAAACATACCAAAGGTGTAGGCTTCCTCTTTAACACCAACATCAAAAAAGAGTGTCTGAAAGTCAGACTAAAACTCCTGCATGCTCTAGCATTGTCCATCTTCCTTTATGCATGCAACACAGGGAACCTACCAGCAGAACTGCAGAGGAGGATCGAAGAAGCTGAAATGAGATGTTTCCAAAGAATACTAGGCATCTTGTATATAGACTGTATAACAAATAAGTAACTAGGTATACTTAAGAAAAACTGATAACCACAATTATGAAGAGGAAACTGTGCTGGTACCAGGGTTGGGGCCATTCCGGAATGCATTTATCAATTCCAATCCAAATCAGGAAATGGAACTGGAGTTGATTAGGTTTTTTTTTCCAATCCCAGCTCCAGATCCATTTCCTGATTTGGATAGGAATTGATGAATGCATTCCAGAATTGCCCCAACCCTGGCTGGTACCATCATGTAACGAGATCAAAACAATCCTCAGGGGACTGTCAAAGAAAAAAGATGCCAGGGAAGGCAGAGGAAGAGATGAACGAACAACATTGAATAAACTGCAATGACTTTTGCCTCTACCCAGGCCCTCGCCCACAACAGTGAGAGGTTGAGTCAACTGGAGTACCCCTCCTCAGTGCAGTGACCTCACCGCCCCAAGGGTTTTCAGGACCAATGATGAAAGATAATGACGATTGTTTTGTTATTTACTGTATTATTACATGCAAGGTTATTGGATCATAATCAGCAAGAATCAGCTATATCCAGTTGAGTTCTTGGAACGAGGGAGGAACAAAGCAGAGAGGTTTTGCTTCTGCTTTTACAAACCCGGCCCAGGCTGCCCCATCAGAACCATTACTGTACTCATCTGACTAAAGTGTTTATTTACCACTGACATAAATGGTAACATGTCACAACAACTCTCCAAACCAGGAGCAAGGATGTGTAGAATAGCCAGAAATACTGGGAAATTGAATTGCTTTGGTAAATTTAACATTTTTAATTTTGGCAACAAAAGCTACACACTGCAACTGATTCTAAACATTGGTCTGGATAGTGTAGCTATGCTCACTGAATGGACCCCATACCTCACTTCCATACAGCAAAACTGGCTAGATTATACACAGTCAAATATTTCCCACCACATCTTAAGGTATATCTGTATTCAAAGGTTTTCTGTTTATTACATATAGAGCTCTGTAAGCTGAACTCAAGTAAACACATGAAATTATGTGTTTTAATGTGTGATCACATGATCAAAAATAATGAATCATGTGAGAAAAACACATTCACTACATAGAAAATAATTCATATATAACATGAAAAAGCAATTATGTAAAATCACACAGGAAAAATTAGTCGCGTAAAAGATACAAAAAATGACTCGCAAAAATTACGTAAAAAATAAATCATGTAAGTGATTTGAAAACATTGAGAAAATTTAACATATAAAAAAGTTCATTGTATAAATTCACAAGTCAAGTGTCAAGTCTCAAGTCTCGTTTATTTATATAGCCCTTTCAACTACAACGTAGACCAAAGGACTGTACATCCGAAAAGAAATGAAGATAGAAGGCATAAAAGCAAACAGACACATAACATACAATAACAAATTCAATAATTAAAAGCCACAGAATACAAATACGTTTTCACACGAACTTTAAAACATCGACTGATGGAGCAGATCTAATATCAATGGGAAGCGCATTCCACAGTATAGGGCCAACTACTGAGAAAGCTCGATCCCCATTAGTTTTAAGATGTGTTCTTGGAACAAAGAGCAGTAAACAATTAGAAGACCTTTGTGATCTACCAGAGTTCATAAGCACCAAGTCCTTGATATATTCCGGGGCCAAGCCATGAACAGCTTTATAAACATACAACAACACCTTATACTGTATTCGAAATTTTAACGGCAGCCAGTGAAGCCGTTCTAAAACGGGTGTAATATGCTCCCTTTTCTTAGTACCAGTAAGGAGTCTCGCGGCAGCATTTTGAACCAGCTGCAATTTTGAAATAAGAGACTGACTAATTCCTACATAAAGAGCATTACAATAATCCAATCGAGAAGAGATAAATGCATGAATCACTATTTCAAGATCGGGAACAGACAAAAATGATTTCATTTTCGCAATAATCCTCAACTGATAAAAACAATTTTTAAGCACATTTTTAACCTGATGGTCAAATATAAGAGCGGAGTCAAAAATGACACCTAAATTTCTTATTTTAGGATGAACATTTGATTCCCATGTACCTAACAAATCGGTTAAACCACTGTCATCCTTATTCATCCCAAAAACCATAACTTCAGACTTGCTAGCATTTAACTGCAGGCAATTTTGCTCTAACCAGGTAGTTACCTCCTTTAAACAAGATACCAAGGATAGATTAGGTATTGATCCTCCAGCTCTGATCGGTAGATAAATCTGAATGTCATCGGCATATAGGTGATAAGATATGCCATATTTCTTAAAGATTAGACCTAAAGGCAGCAAGAACAAAGAAAAAAGAATAGGTCCCAAGATTGAACCTTGCGGTACTCCACAATCCAGAGGAACTGACTTGGATGAATAGTCCCCAACCCTAACAGAAATTGAACACCCCATTAAATAGGAGGAAAACCATTTTAAAACCGTCCCTCTCAGCCCCACAACATGTTCCAAACGATTAATAAGGATATCATGATTAATTAATTCAAAAGCTGCACTGAGATCCAGCATGATTAGCGCTCCTCTGTTACCTGAGTCTGCAATGAGTAACAAATCATTAGAAACTCGCAATAGAGCTGATTCAGTACTGTGTCCTGCCCGAAAACCAGATTGAAAAACATCTAACACCTCGTTTTTAGCCAAAAAAGAACTTAACTGAATTAAAACTACCTTTTCCAATATTTTAGAGACACAAGGCAGTTTCAAAATAGGCTTATAATTTTTAAAATCCAACGAGTCAAGAATAGGCTTTTTAAGTAGGGGCTGAATAACCGCCTGCTTAAAACTTAAAGGGAAAATGCCTGTATAAAGACTGCAATTAACAATTGCAGTAATACACGGCCCAGTATAATCTAATGTCGCAGCCAACAAATGAAAAGGCAAAACATCCCAACTAGCAGCTGGATGTTTCAACTTACCAATAATAAAGCTAATATCCTTAGTTGAAACCAAGTCAAATTTCTCAAACGTGCTAATATTTTTGATAATAACTTCTGTCAAACCGTTCC